CTCAAGCGGCCGCACTAACCCGGCAACCCCAACCCGCCCTCCGTCTTCGTCCCGTCCCAGCCGCGCCTCCGACCCCCAAGCAGCCTCGCGCCGCTCGATGGCGGCGCCGTATCACCAGCCGACGAGCCTGGAGGAGGTCCGGACGCTGTGGATCGGCGACCTCCAGTACTGGACCGACGAGAACTACCTCTACAGCTGCTTCGCCCACTCCGGGGAGGTAGGCGACGTCCTTCGACCTGTGCGCCCCCCAAGACCGTGCGTTGCGCGCCGATTAGGCAGATTTTCTCCATAGGGTTCGTTTGGTTGCCGTCCTAATTCGGTGATTTTAAGCTGGTTTGTTATTCTCAATGTCTGATTGAGCGGTTGCGTTGCTGCGGATTGGGTGAATTCAGGAGAGTTAGTACTTCAAGGTAGCTCTCGCCTTTCGGATGCATCGATGTCGATTTGCCCATTTGTGGTGGGCTAGTGGCTGCTATTCTTTCGGCTCTAGGGTAGATACATAGATTGACAACCGTGCCCTTATATGTTTTTTTTTAGCAATGTAAGGGTTTCATGATCTTAGGGTTGTGGCTTGTGGAGCCAGCCTCTTAGCTTTGAAAAAATTGACCCAAACAACTGTGAATTTTAGCGGTCACATGCTTCCTCTTGCATCAATGGATGGGCCTCTAGTGAAGTAGCACACGGTTGTTCATGAATATTGTCCAGGCATATCTGGGCATAAAATACTTCACCCAGTTGATGTAAAAGTGTGTGCTATTGTTCGACAGATAAAATTACCTGAGAAAGTGAAGGTATCCACGCAGGCCTTTTGGAATATATCGCCGTGTTTGCAGTTGTAGGCTTGTAGCTTGTTATTTTTGCATGTAGGTGAATGTAATGTTCTAGGCCTATTTATCTATATCATTGAGTCTTTTAGGGATATTGTAGTAAAGCATTGCACTGTTTTGGGCTTGTTTGAAGCAGCATTGGTAGGATGTTATTGTGAACTAACATTACTCATAGGTTGATAGTTTCTGAAAATTAAGAAAACAGTTTATTTAAGTATCGGGTACTTCACTACAGAAAAAGTTGTGTGAAAAATATTCCTTGACAGCTGTTTGAGTTTATACAGCAACCATTTTGTAGCTGCATGTCTGATCTGTGATTGGGCTGCCTCATTGTCTTTTTTTTGGGGGACACTGAGCTGATGATAGAAGTTTGTTTTTTAGAATATAACATTTTCAACTTTATCTGAACATCAAAAACTACTATACTTTTAAGCATAGTTTGTGTTGTAGAGTTTTTTTTTCTTGTTGAGCACTGAGCACTGGAGAGTACATTTTGAACTCATCGTGTTAAGAACTTTATTTCCTGGAAGTGCAGGTACAATCTGTTAAAATAATACGCAACAAAGTAACAAGCCTTCCAGAGGGTTATGGGTTTATAGAGTTTGTTTCGCATGAAGCTGCTGAGAAAATTCTCCATACTTACAATGGCACACAGATGCCTGGAACTGAACACACATTCAGATTGAATTGGGCCTCTTTCAGCTCTGGTGAGAGGCGTCCTGATTCAGGATCTGATCATTCGATTTTCGTAGGGGACTTGGCACCTGATGTCACAGATTACTTACTACAGGAGACATTCGGAGTGAACTATCCATCTGTTAGAGGGGCTAAGGTTGTCACAGATCCAAATACCGGGAGATCTAAAGGATATGGATTTGTAAAGTTCGCAGATGAAAATGAAAAGAACCGTGCAATGACAGAAATGAATGGTGTGTACTGTTCAACAAGACCTATGCGGATAAGTGCTGCAATACCTAAGAAATCCACTGGCTCTCAGCTTCAGTATTCAGCTGCTAAAGGTAATATTAGATGATCTGTAATGCACTGTGGATATTCTTCATTTTCTTGATGTTTCTTTCCGTGGATTTATGATAGCTGTCTTCTTATGTTAAATGTGTAGCGGTGTATCCAGCAACAGCTTATGCAATGCCTCAGCTCCAGGCAGTTCTCCCTGACAGTGATCCTACAAACACTACGGTATGTACCCCCACCATATTTCTGTCAGTTACTCTGTTGAGGGTTGACTATGCCACTTACCTTGGGATATATCATACATTTACAGATATTTATTGGGAACTTGGACCCAAATGTGACAGAAGATGAGCTTAGGCAGATATGTGTACAGTTTGGAGAGCTTATATATGTGAAAATTCCTGTTGGTAAAGGATGTGGATTTGTACAGTATGCATCTAGGTAAGTGCTATAGAAAATTTCATTTAAGTGTAATAGTTGCCCGATGCTTTATGGTGTCTAGTTTAGTTTATATCCATATCAGGACTTGCCCAAAATCCAAATGTCATAACATCCTGAAATAAGTATGCCTGTAGTGGGATGTTGGGGACATGTATGCTTTACAAGAAGAACTAAGAACATTTCAATGCAGTATTACCATTCCTTTCCATTGAAATCTCAGCAGACAAGAAGAGAATTTTTACAATTAATGTCACAGGGATATGTCTATTGTATTCTTTTTTCCCTAGACTCCGCACAGAGCGGGAGCTCTCTGCACTGGGTACACCCTTTATTCTTTTTCATATATTGCCCCCCTGCAAAAGTAGATGTATTTGTTGATGACACATCTCTTTACTAGCATCTAAGTTTTCTTTAAGTGATGAAAAGGTAGGGTGTTTACCATTGCCGATTGTAACCATTACAGGGCATCAGCTGAAGAGGCAGTACAACGTCTTCATGGCACAATGATTGGCCAACAAGCTGTTCGGCTTTCATGGGGCCGAAGTCCTGCGAGTAAACAGGTATATCTTATGACATTTTAATGCATAAACCTAATACCTATCGCATTCAATAAATCTCTTTGGCCTTATACCTGGTGAAATCAAGCTGATGCCGTTATGTTGATGTGGGGCTATTTTGCACCAATAAGCATGTTAAAGAAGATTTCACTCGGTGCTAACACTTGGAATTGAGAATTAATGAGAGCCACATGATAGTATTCTTATGCTGTCTTGGGTAGATAACCTGATAGGGGATTGCTTGTTTGATATAGTATTAGTTTCTCAGCAGTATTTGTTCATTTTTCTGATAACTCCCCCTGAATTTTCATTTGTTTTCTTGTTATTATTGTATCTTCTGTATTTTTTACCTACTGGAATCTCTTCGAATGGAAGCTAATGTTTGTTATTTATTATCACATGAAACCATATATTCAGGACCCATCAGCTGTGTGGAGTCAGCAAGCAGATCCAAATCAGTGGGCAAACACTTACTATGGCTATGGATATGATGCATATGGATATGCTCAGGATCCGTCATACGCGTATGGTGCCTATGCAGGATATAGCCAATATCCCCAACAGGTAAGGATTTCCATCCACATTACATTATTATATATTCATTCCGAGTGTCTGTGCTGTACACTTGCACGTTCATCAGTAAGTTGTGGATGTGGACACTTGAAGCTTGTTATAATTTATAATTTCTTAAATTCCTGCCAAGTTATGTTAGCATACAATGCACGCTTTCGTTAAACCAGACGTAGAAAATTGCATCCTTGTGAATTATGTAATCCACCCTATTGAATACCTGAAGGATAGATTTTGGGCCTGTAGAATGTTCATTTACTGAATTATTTTGTTTTGTTCTATTTTCTGCTAAGATATCTTGAAAGTTTGTACAGGCCTTGTACATGCTCCCATTGTAAGGAAGTGATTTGTGGTGCATACCTCTCCCATGATCTTTCATGTTTCATAGTGCAGAGATGATATCATGCTATTCGTGTCTGACCAAAATCTGTTCTCCATATTTGACAAATCTCACAATCTTTCAGATTGAGGGAAGTGTTGACGCCACTTCTGTTGCTGGTAGCCATCCAGGCATGGAACAAAAAGAGGAGCCATATGATCCAATGAACATACCTGATGTCGACAAGTAAAACCAGTCACATTACTCTTCACAGTTCGCACTGTTGTTTCTGTAGAGATGTTTTCTAACCCATGGTCCTCTTTCTCCTGCAATCTTTAGGCTGAATGCTTCATACATGGTTGTTCATGGTAGAGCCATGCTAGGGCGGTCCTTGTGGTTGAAGACCAACCCTCTGCCCCAACCGACGTAAGCACGCAGCCACCGTTGCCTTCTTTTTTTTTCCCTGAAGACTGCAGTGCTGATGGGCGCAGCTGGGTTTCGTCGTAGATGATTTTGCCCATCCCAGTAGGCACATTACTATGTTGGCGATGGATCATCAAACTCTGAAATTGCTGTAGGCTGACCAACAGCTTCGTGTATGTTGACAATAATATCCCATGTGATGAGGCAATGACCCTTCTGTGTTTCTTAGGCTGCTGCTTAATTTTATCAGGACAATATTGTGGGAACGGTGAAAGTCATCTGTCTAGTCCCCTTTTCCAACTGATCATTCTGCTGTTCGATACCCAACTGCCGTTCGCTTGATTGCACATTTTTGCCTGCTGTAGATCTAAGTCAACTGATCATACCTGCCTGCTGTAGATCTAAGTCACATCTCAGGTGACGGCGTGATGCCTGCGGCCCAAAACTATTCCTCGATGGTTGTGAAGCGGTAAACTATTTCCTCGATGGTTGTGAAGCGGAACGTTCCATAGACACAGAATCCTACGCTTTGACCATTCTGTGCCATGTCCACAAGCCTGCTGCCACTGCCAGTGAGTACCTCTGGTCGTGTCGCAAGGATCCAAGTGGGACCCGCTTCCAGTGAGCTACTGCCATTATTGTAGTATCGGTGACCTCCAACGGTCGGAAAACTGGCCGGGTCGGCGGGTAGTCTTCCCCTTCCCTCGGCTCTTCTGCTCATAACACGCGCAACGGCTCGCCTCGCCACTGGCCCACTGCCGCTGCCCCCGCACATCTCACGAGCGCGACAAAAGAGGAGCCGCGACCAAGCAACCGGAACCCAACCTTCTCCCTCGCTTTCTATCACTCGGGGCTTCTCCGCCGCCGCGCGGGAGGGAAGGGGAGGGCGGGATGGAGTTCATGGAGCCCAAGGACATCGACTGGAGCAGGGTGGTGTCCCGGTACGTGCGCGACGAGACCTACGAGGGCATCGAGGCCCCGCACTGGGCCGACCTCACCGACCCCAACGCCGGCCGCGCCGACGTCGACGACGAGGCCTGGTTCTGCCGCCCCGGTACGCTCTCCCTTCCCTCCCGCTCTCTTGCTGGCTCCCCCCTCGCAGGCGGGCGCGCGGGCGGTGCTCCTGTTGCCTGTTGGTTGGCCCCGCTTGATTTGACTACGAGGAGATCAAATCAAAGCAGTGCGCGCTGATCGACGGGTCGCCCGGTTCTTGCTTTCTTCCTTGGGGATGGATTCTCTTGCAACATTGGAAGTTTGCTTCTAAACGAGCGGTGCTGATCTTTTGATTTGCGGTGCTGCAGATTGCCGGCATCCGAAGACGGCCGAGGATTTCCTCAAGCTGAGCCCCAGCCCCAAGGTCTGCCTTGCTTCGCCGTTCCTTGCGGCCCTTTTTCTTCCACTGGTTAGCTGAACCCTCATCTCACGCTCTTCATCGGAACAGGGCAAGCTGCTGCGATCGGTTTCGGCCATGCTGCCGTTCGCCGAAAGGGACGCCAACGCCACCAGCCTCAGGTGACCAATCAAATTCAATCCAGGTGTTCTTTGCGCGCCGCGCCCGCCTCGATCAAATCCCGTTCTCACCCCCCCTTCGTGCGTTGCTCAGGGACGGCAGTAGCAATCTCAAGTGGCGGGGCGGCGGCGCCGTTGCCTCCTCCACGCCGCCGAAGCCAAAGGCAGCGCCCAAGAAGAGGTTCCAGGAGGACAGCGAGAACCAGGACCCTGCGCTGGCCACGCCGCCCCCACGACAGGCGCCAAGTAGTAGGCCGCCGTTCGGTGCCCCTCGGTGGAACAAGAATGCCAAGGAGGCCATCAAGTCCAGTGCGGAGAAGCGGCCGGACAATTCTGAGAAGGAGGCGCTGCTCAACAAGTACGCCCCGCCGAGGCAGCTCAAGAGCACCCTCTCAGCGAGGAATCTCTTCTCTGGAAAGGATATACTTGGCCAGATTTCGGAGTTCTACGATGAGCTGAAGCGGATGGTTGGAGGCGGCCGGCCTGTCACAGACACACAGGAGGAATACAGCTCAAACCCAATGTAAACCTCTCCTCATCGAAGGAATGCTGGAATTCAATTGTCGGGTTGTCTCTATGAGGCCCTTGACAGTTTCATTCGTGCAGGAATCCGAGCGATTTGATGGAGAAGGTATCTCCTGATGCCAGCGTCAGCAATCCAGTTCCCGCAGATACCGTGAAGGAGGTGGCGAGACAAGAAACAGTGAAAAAGAGTCGAAGCCCAATGTAATTTGCAAATAGTCATCCCAATGCAAACTTATGCGTATAGGTTGTACTGATTGTTGCTTACGGCGCTGATGTTGGTTTCTGCAGGAAGGGAAAGAAAGTGGGGCTGAAGGTGGAAGCAGGGAAGCAAAGGTCTCCCTCTGTGCTGAAGGAAGTGAAGGCAACACCGCCCACTCCGCAACGGTTTCCATCCCCATCGCCAAACCGCATTAAGAATGTTAAACCTGGAGGGGTGGCCACAGCAGGATCGCCACTCAAGAAGCCACTCAAGAAGCCACTCAAGGTGAATCCAGCATGGCTATAGTATTTGCTTACTCGTGTCCGTGGCTTTAAATCACGGTGTTTACTTGATTTTTACTGTCTTCATTTCTGGGACTTCAAATTCTTCAAGGGCATGTAATGTTCACAAAAAGCATGGTCCACTTTTGTAGATCTTAGTATGGAAGAATACATTAGAGTGACTTCTGCTCTAAAATAAATGATTGGCTACGACTGCTTCTTCCCCTGATGATTTAATAGATCCTACGATGAGCTAAATTAGCATCAGCCCAGTTCACCATACTTCACAAACTAAATTTGTTGAACCATGTGAAAGATTAGGTCATGAGATGTTACCGAATGTACTAACTATATGTCAAGGCATATTTTCTATAAATCCTAATAATGATGCTTGTTCATAACCTGGTATTCATTGTAAGCCTCATAATGGATGGCCTCAAATAGTTTTTTCAACTTATCTTATGTTCATTGTGGATGATCATATCATAAATGCTTGTGCATCTCATAGTTGAACTCATATTTTTGTACTGTACAAAAGGCAAACACAGTGATTATATAGTTTTAGGGCTGTTGTGCCCAACCATTACCAATGAGGTATTTATCTGAAGTTGATCACGGAGTTATCTAATTATACTGTAATTTCCTTTTCTTTAGGAGAAGGGGACCCCTAGTAAGGATCTGGAGAGCAAAAAAGATGCTGTGAGGCAACCCTTTGGGGTTAAGGATATGAACAATACAAGTGCATGTGATGCAGAAGGGAGCTCCAGCAGCATGTTTTGGTTCTTGAAGCCCTGCACTTTCCTTGTGGAGTAGCATCATAACACTACAAAGTTTTAACGAGCAACACTTGATGTAGCTAGAATCCGTTACTACATTCATTTCCAAATATCCTGAGTTCCTATTTAATTGATTCATTTGATGGGTACCCTATCCGGGAAGTAAAAGAAAAATCCATGTATAGTCATACAGGTTGAAAGAGTCTTTTCCATATGTATAATTCGAGATATAGCAAAACACTTTTCTGCTGCTTCGTTGTTTGTTCGAACAAACTGCATTTTTGTCTCTTGAAGTGATATACTAAGGTTATACAATTCAATGATTTGTTTGAATGTTGTTGCCCTCTACCTAGTAGCAGTTCAAAACTACAAACTGACCAAAAATGTTTCAAGTGCACTCTATACATTCCATGAGGTGATATAAGTCGATGGTCTATTTCTTAATTCATGAAGGTTTACTGTTCTTAATTATACTGGCTTGTGCTTGCCGAATTGCTGATGTTGTTTATATTCCTTCAATTGTAATTTCACAAATTTTTTGCACAAGGATTGTAGCCCTAAGTTATAACAATGTGGATTCAGTGGTCTGCAAGGAAATGCCACAAGCAAGAATTCTGAAATCTCTTCCAGAACTTACAATTTTTTATTAGTCTTCAGCCGCTATGTGACAGATTTGATTTGCATTTTTTTTTGTGAAAGAAGACTTGATTTGCATTTAAAGGTTTAACAGTCCTATTGTCCTAATTCCTAAGTTACTTTTCTTAAGATCACTCGCCAGGAGTTGGCACACATCCCAAGCACATTATCTGGGTTGCATTGAGCGGTTCCTTGATCCTCCGTGACGTCATTCGACAAGACCAGGAACTCGATTTTTCATCAAGGATGGTGAAAGAGTTCGTAAATCTATATCTGTATATCTACTCAATAAGCTGAAACCATGAGAAGTCTTTAATTGCTATAAAGCTACAACCATGTTGAGCCGGATCATCTCAATTTAACAGCCATGCAATCATATGCTCCAAGTTAAATCTAGACGTTCATCTAAACCTCCACTTCTCTTGACAAACCGGTTGGATGTGACCAATGTCGAGTGGCACTCCGGTTGGATGTGACAAGTAGTTGAAATCAATGCATCGTGGACTTTTAGGGCATTGCAATAGTCGTTGTCATCATGAATTTATATCAGTCTTGATTCATTATACAACACCCGATTTTGGATTGCGTTTACAACTTCTTCCTTCATAGAGAGATCATTTAAAATTAGTTTATAGTCTCTACAGCAACACGCGGAGATATCACCTAGTTAAGATTGATAATTGGCCACTTGTTTCTAAGTGCATTATATTCTTTGTAACTCATTTACAGTTTAGGATCGGACGACTCTAGGCACTCACGAATGGTTCTTATTAAAAAGGAGGAAAAAGTCCAAATTACCCTTAAACACTATCGTTACCTTAGTTTTCCAATGTTCCATAGAGCATAATTGATGCATGCTTTAGCTATGTATGTATGTATGTAATGGCGATAAGAATCACATCCGGATGTAGGCGAAACTCCCAAGTCCCAACTATGTTTAGTCCTTAGCTGCTAGCAATTAATTGATCTATGTTTCTTACTTTCTTGACACTTGGATGTACGATGCTTCGTTACAAGGTTATCAATCATGAACTTCATCCTTAAAAACATATGCCAATCCATCCAGTGCACAAGACATGTCGTTTTGCCACCGGGTGCCTCATGCAATTTCTTTCGCATTTTTCAAAGGGTGGTTTCTCTACCTTCTCCCGCACTGCATGCAAACACTCTCAGGTTGCATGGCTCATACCGTCCACATGTCAATGCTTGTTCTCAAGATTTAAATGAATTGTCAAAAATGAATTTGGTTATGCATATTGAGCATCAATCGTGAATTTGATTAGAAATTACTATGTCAATTCTGCAACATTTGAATGCTACGTCTACGATCAAGATGGTGGTGAGGTGCTAAGGGGGAAGCACCAACGCTTTGATCCACTTTGCGTTGTCATTGTTACTTAATACATAAAGAAATTGAAGGCAAGCATGCACATTAAGAGGCTTTTGAGATGATCTTGTTGTGCATCTAACATAGCTCTAGGTATTTCATTGATATGATGGACTTCGTTTGTGAAAGAATGGTCATGGTGTAATTGTTTAGAGGACGACACTTTATTTTAGATTTTAATTGTAATTGTCATGTTTGAATTTGTGAATTCAATATTTACCATTTGTATGAACTAAATATTTAGTCTGAATTTATATAGTGTCATAAAAGAGAATAAAAAAGTACCCCTCTGACATTTTGTTTTTCTAGATATATTGTTTTTTTACTATTAGTACCCTCTACATCCAAATTGTAAATTGTTCTGGCTTTTCTAGATACATAGCTTCTACTACATATCCAGACATAATGTATATTTAGATGCATAACATAAGTTATGTATCTAAAAAAACTAAAACAACTTATAATTTGAAATGGAGGAAATGCATATATAAAAATAGTGTATATCTAAGTGCATAGCAAAAATATATTTATCTAGAAATGCCAAAATATCATATAATTTGGAATGAAGGGAGTATGTGTGAAAAAGGAGGAGAAAAATAAATAAAAACTCTGGTTTAAGGACCTTTGTTGGAGTTAAGTGTAAAAAATAGTCATGAAAGGAAAAGGTCCTCAAATATAATCCCAATTTGAGGCATGCTGGAGTGCTGGTGGAGGTACTCTTAGGGTCTGTTTGGCAGGGCTCTGGCTCCTCTGAAAATGGCTCCGGCTCTAGCTTCTCTGAAGGAGCAGCTCCTTTGGAGGAGCTGAAGTTGTTCTGAAAACGTTTGGCAAAACGGCTCCTTCGCACTAGACAACGTGAACCCACAGCAAGGAGCCACGTGAAGCTCATTTTTTAGGCTTCTCCTACGCAGACAAAAAATGACTCCGACTCTTGACTGACTCTCCATGCGAAGCCCTTTTCAAAACAAGCATTTGGTACAGCTCCTGCAGAAGCCGGAGCTGAAGCCCCTGCAGAAGCCATACCAAAGAGGCTCTTAATAATAAGGTTACAAACATACACGTACTCCTAGATCTCCAAACTCATTTTGCTATTTTAGCGATTGATTGGATGACAGATGGGACCGCGCCCACCTGTCACCGAAGACAGGCTCTTATAAAAGATCAAATGCAAAATCCGTTATTTAATGATGGAGCATCCTACTGTTCTCCGTTTACAAGAGGGATGTCCTCACTCCGAATCCTTCTATTTCTTGTTCTTGGGTTCTTTGTCGGACCCCAACACCATTTCTCCAAGATCCACTCTGACCTTGAATAAACACCATTTCCAACGATTCCGACGGCTCGCGCCTCCATCGAATAGTTGATCCTTGTCAGGCCTGTAAGCCGCCGCCGCCTCTGCCTGATCCTGCTCAGCCCCCGCCGACCGCCGCTTCGCCGGAGGCCTCACGCACCTCACCGCGTCCGCGCAGCCGTGCTTGCCCTGATCCCACCCCCGCCTGGCTCCCTGGACCTACGGCGTCATCATCGACGCCGGCAGCACGGGAAGGCCGTCTCTGCCTGATGCCCGGATGATAGTTTGACCATGCTCGCAATCCGTTCGACGAAATGCCCTGTGGCATTTGTGGGCGTAGCCGGCGCCCTGGTGGTGCTTGTCACCGCCGTCCATGTGTTCATGGTGCCAATCCTTCCTGCCTCCTTGGACTATTTCGGTGCTCGCAGCAGTATAAGCCGCCCAAAGAATGTTCTCCCGGCCGTCGGGGTGGACTCTCGTCTCAGGGGGCGCTTCCCTTCTGATTCATATGGCGCCGTGGCATTTCGTGGCGCGCCATGGAAGGCTGAGATTGGTAGATGGCTTGCCGGGTGTCATGCTAACTCTTCGTCTGTTGATGTTACTGAGGTTTGCACCCACCCTAGTCACTGGTTCGTGCACTTTGACTTAGCTTTTTATGGGGTTAATTGAAGTTGCTCTTTTGCGACAGGCTATAGGTGCAAAGCGCTGCGAGAAAGACTGCAGTGGTCATGGTGTTTGCAACTATAATCTGGGAGAGTGCAGATGCTTTCATGGATATTCTGGTTGGTCTTACTTCTCAGTATTATCTGTTAATAAGAGTCTATGCACTAATAATTCAATAGTTCTTACGATCTGGAAGGGCTGGCTTTTAAGAACTTAAGACTAGAGCTAAACAAAAAAATAGGTAATGATATCATTTAATAGAGTTAGGTACCACAAAGAACTAATCGTGGATTCTTATATTGGATACAGCGATGCAACCTACAAATGTCTCCCTAACCATGTAGACAGCATTTTTTTTCTTCACAAATCTTGTATAATTTCATCTCAGAGTACGCTCAGTATATCTTCTTTCATCTGTAGCGTACTCTGTTTAGATCACTTTGCATTCCTGAAAGAACATAGAAGTGTAGTTTGTATGTCTGAAAGAATATAGACCATTCAGTTTATTGTATATGGACTCATGGATTAAGAATTGCAGTATTGAAGACTCATATGCTTTTTTTTTCCTACTACAAAGCTGTTGTTGGATTTGATCTCTGTGAGTATGTAACCTAGGCGAAATGGGAACTGAACTACTGCGTTAAACAGCTACTGGTTGTTCACTTATGTGATTATAATCTTGTTTATGGACATATATTTCTTTCTATGGTTTTGGGTTTACTAAAAAACAAATTTCGTTTAAAAATGAAAGAACATGAGTGTACGGACTGTAGAAAGGTGGCATATATATTTTCCCTTGCTAATGTTGATATATGTTGCTTTTCTGGATTCCAATAACATTTAAATTTGTAGTGCTGTATTCCTAATCTATGGCTTCACTGATACAGGGAAAGGATGTGAGGAGGTTCAGAAATTGGAATGCAACCTCCCAAGTTCCCCAGAATGGCCAGTAGGTCTATGGATAGTTTCCACCTGTGCAGCTCACTGTGACAAAACAAGGGCAATGTGCTTTTGTGGGCCTGGAACAAAATACCCAGATCGTCCTGTGGCAGAAGCTTGT